TAGATCCCCTCCCCTCCCTCCAGATCCACTCCCCCTCCAGATCCATTCCCCCTCCCTCCAGATCCACTCCCCCTCCCTCCAGATCCACTCTCCTCTGTTTCCCTTCAGAAAAGAGCAGGCCTCCCAGGCATAGTAACTGACAGCATAACAAGATACAATAAGACCAGGCACAAACCATCATATCAACCAGTAGGAGGAAAGGGGTTTCAAGATCAGGGAAAAGTGTCAGAGACGCCCCCACTCCCACTGTCAGGAGTCCCATAAAAACCCCAAGCTAAACAATCACAACATATATGCAGGTTCCATGACTGCTGCTTTAGTCTCTAGGAGCCCTGTGAGCCCTGCTTACTTTGCTCTGTGGGCTGTGCTCTCCTGGTGCCCTCAGCCCCTCTAACTCCTACAATTCTTCCTCCCCCCAATAGGTTCCAGGCAGTTTCCCTGCACTAGTTTTCCACATTGCCCACCAAATGTCCCCAATTCCAATTATCTCTCAGTACTCTCTCCCTCCCTCCCTCTCTCCCTCCCCAACTTTATCCCTCCTGTTCCCATCCTCATCTGCCCCCAGTCCACCCACAAAATCTATTTCCCATTTCCAGAGAGATCCATGTGCCCCTCCTCCTCACTAGAGCCCCTCCCTTGTTACTTAGCCTATCTGGGTCTGTGGATTAAACCATGGTTGTCCTTAACAGCTAATATCCAATTATAAATGAATGCATGTCATGTTTGTCTTTCAGGGTCTGGGGTACCTCAGTTAGGATGACTTTTTTTCTTGTTCCATCCATTTGCCTGCGAACTTCATGATGCCTTTTTGTTTCTTGTTTTTGTTTGTTTGTTTGGTCTTTGAGACAGGGTTTCTCTGTGTAGTTCTGGCTGCCCTGGAACTCGCTTTGTAGATCAGGCTGGCCTCAGACTCACGGAGATTTGCCAGCCTTTGCCTCCCAAGTGCTGGGATTAAAGGCATGGATGTCACTTTTTTAAATAGATGAGTAATACTCCATTTCATAAGTGTACCACATTTTCTTTATTCATTCTTTGGCTGAGGGACATCTAGGTTGTTTCCAGTGTCTGGCTATTATGAGTAAAGCTGAGTTGAACATAGTTGAGTAAGTATCCTTGTGGTAGGGTTCTGAGGAACTGCCACATTGATTTCCATAGTGGCAGAACAAGTTTACATTCTCACCAGCAACAGAGGAGTGTTCCCCTGAGCAAGGGCATCTTGACAGTGGCTACACCACTGAAGACATGATTCCTTCCCCACCCGTGGTACCTGCCCGTAGTCCCTCAGGAGCCGTGAGGTCTCACAGACCCCTCTCCTACCAATGATGGGGAGTTGAGGAGTCCAGTCTTGTGTAGATAACCACAGCTGAAGTGAGCTCATGAGTGTGTGGCCATGCCATGTCCAGAGGCAGATTTTTGCTGCACTTCTTCCCATCCTCTGGCTCTCAGTTCTTCTCATCCCCTTTTCTGCTGCATTTCTAGAGTCCTGGAGGGGGCAATAGAACTGTCTCAGTTAGGGCTGAGCACTCCATCATCACGTATTCTTGTCACTTTGGCAAGGTTTGCACTAACCACTGCCTGCAGCAGTAAGAAGCGTCACTGATGTTGGGTGCAGCATCAATCTATGGGTATCAACGTGTGTATTTAGAAGGCCATTTGACAACACGAAATTAAAACAACAGTAGTAGCTTCGCTCAGGCCCATGACTTTCCCAACCAAGGGTCCTTGACCAGGTTTACAGAATCAGACGTGAGTTCCCTCTGATCAGAAAGTGGTTGTTTCCTCCATAACAGTTAAGCTGCAGTTTCACTACAGAGCATGTCTTGCTTGGTAAGTCATTACTGTTGCCCCTAGGATTCACAGCTGAGTCAGACTGTTGGTGACCTTTCTCCCCGAGCAGTCTTGTAGCATCTTTTGGCACTGTGAAGGCAGCATCTTCAGGCATTGTGAAGAGTAGCCCATAGGGAGAAAACTTCTGACTCATCTTCAACTTGATTTCTCTCTGTCCTGTGGCCAAATTAAGTAGTGTCTCCCGTAATAGGCTCTTATCATCAAGTTTTGGTGAGCAACCGAGAGCAGTGGCAGTGGTCTATATTGTTTTGAGAGTCTTTGGGGTTTCCTTGGATGACACTGGAATCTTTATTTAATAACCTATGCATATTAAGAGGAGTTATATTCATTCATCCAGGACACCATCATAGAAATTTCCTTTTAGATGGTAGTTTTTAATAAGCTTATATGATCATGTTTCCTTGTGTCTGTTTCATACATCCTTAGTTTTTTTTTAACCTTTTTAGAGCTTTATTGGGAGGGGGAGAGGGAGAGGGAGAGGGAGAGAGAGAGAGAGAGAGAGAGAGAGAGAGAGAGAGAGAGAGAGAGAGAGAGAGAGAGAGAGAGAGAGAGAGAGAACATCCTTAGTTTTGGCTACTGCTCCCACCCACTTTTTCCCCAGGCTCCCAGCAATCTTGATTAGATCCTTCCACCCCTAGTTTTCCCTTCTTGTCTGATATGTTCTAATTCCCTTTCCCTTAAGGCCACCTTCATACCTCCATCCGTCTAATGGTTCCTTTCTATCTTTCTGACCATCACTAGCATTCAGTGTTAAATAAATAACTTGAAAAATTTATAGCTGAAATTTGCACATAAGAGAGTTCTCATGGCATTTGTCTTTCTTGCTTAGGTTACCTCGTATGATATTTTATAGACACATTAAATTTCATAATTTCATTTCCTTGCCAATAAATAAAATTCCACTGTGTATATGAACATTTTCATTTTCATCCATCCGTTGGACACTTAGGCTTGTTCCATTTCCTCCCTGTTATAAATAGAGCAGCGGTGAATCTGGAAGTACAAGTAACTCTGTTGTAGCGCATGGAGTCTTTTGGGTATATGCCCAAAAGTGGTATACTTGAGTTATACAGCAGTTCTATATTTAGTTTTTGAGGAACCTCCAAACTGATTTCTACAGTGGCTGCACCCATTCATACTCCCACCCACAGTGAGTAAAGGTTCCTCTCCCCTGACATCCTTGCTAGCATTTGTACTGATTTGTTTTCTTGATAATATTCACTCTGATTGGAGTGAGATGAAATTTCAAAGTTGCTTTACATTTGCATTTCCATGGTGACTAAGGATGATAAGTGCTTTTAAAATATTTATTAACCACTTGTTTTGAGGACTTGCTGCTCAGTTTTATTGGCTGTTCTTAATCAGATTGTTTATGTCTCTGATTGTTTTGTGTAGGAATTTACTGATATGAACTTCCCTCTTCGACCTTGCATAGAATGAATTAAAAAATGCCCTCCATAGGTTCACATATTTTAACACTTGGTCCGCAGTTGGTGGCGCTGTTTGAGGAGGTTATTAAACCCTTAGGTTCAGCCTTGCTTGAATACATCCCTTGGGGTGGGCTTGGAGCATTTACATACTCACTCACTTTGCTCTTCTGTGTGGTTGAGATATGATCTCTTGGCTTCTTCCACCTTTTACCACACCTCACCTGCCATTAGGATGCTCCCTCTGGAAGCCAAAATACACTCTACTATCTGTTGCTTTCAGCCATGCTATTTTAACATAACAAGGAACTGTAACAGGTCTGCTTTTGATTTTTTTAAATCCAGTATCGTGGCTCGGTTGGGATAGACAATACAGAGCCGCAGACGGGAGGAGCTAGCAATGCAGCAGGATCCTCAGGCCCGCTCCCCTGAAGAGGAGGTCCTCATGAATCATTACAAGATCATCAAGACCCTCGGCACAGGCAACTTTGCTCAGGTGAAACTGGCCCTCCACCTCCACACAGAGGTACAGGTTGCTTTGAAGACCCTGGAAAAGGATAAAAAGAATGCTTCTTTGATTGCAAATGAGCTAGAGATCATGAAAATACTAGACCACCCTAATATAACTAAATTGTTCCATGTCATGGAAACCACTGAACACATCTACATGGTTCTGGAATATGCCTCCGGGGGTGATCTGGCTGGTCGTATCTTAGAAGTGGACTATATGAAGGAAGGGGAAGCCCGGTACATCTTCGCACAGATGGTATGTGCTGTTAACTACTGCCATGAGAATGGCATTGCACACAGGGACATCAAACCAGAAAACATTCTGATGGATGCACATAGAAACATCAAACTGTGTGACTTTGGCCTGGCCATCAGAGTTACCACTGAGCAGAAGTCAACAGTGTTCTGTGGCACCCTTCCATATTGTGCTCCAGAGCTTTTCAGCAGCCGAGGCTATGACCCCAGGGCACTTGATATCTGGAGCATGGGAGTGGTACTGTACATCATGGTGACAAAGCACTACCCATTCAAAGCAACAACATATGAAAAGATGAAGGAGGAAATGCAAGAGCCACATTACTACATTCCACCAAAGCTCCCAGCACACATTGCCAACCTCATCGTGCGATTGTTCACTATTGATCCTGGACAGAGGCCCAAGATACGTGACATCATGGAACATCAGTGGCTCAAGGGCAGTGAAGAGTTTTCAAAACTAACCCAGCCCCTAGAAACCCTCCCCAACAAGCCCAACCCCAATATTATGGCAGCCATGTGGGGCATGGGCTATAACCCCAAGGACATTAGAGACTCCTTACATGAAAAAAAATTTAATAGCATCATGGCAACTTACTTAATTTTAAAACATCAGTCACCAGGGGTAGACAACATTAACCATACTGTTAAGCTCATGCAGCCCAGTATTGCCATGGAACCTTCAGATTCTTCTACCTTCCATCTCTTCCTAAAGAAGACAGGGAATGAGACTGACCATTCCACCTCTACCCTGCCAGCAAAGTTTCAGTCTCATGACAACGATGACGAGCTTGTAAGGAAGGAAGACAGCAAGAATCTCAGCATGCCTGCCATTCTGTGCTGCCAGCATAAGAGCCTGCCTCACCCCACAGGCACCCAGTGTGGTCCTGTGCAGCATATTCATGAGCAGCTCCTGAGCAGCAGCCTGCAGAAGAGCAGCACAACTTCCAAGAGTGTGTCCTGTGGTCCTGTACAACATGACCACAAGAGGCTCCTGAGCAGCATCCTGCAGAAGAGAATCACAGCTTCCAAGAGTGTGTCCTGTGGTCCTGTGCAGCATGAGCAGCTCCTGAGCAGCAGCCTGCAGAAGAGAATCAGGGTTTCCAAGAGTGTGTCCTGTGGTCCTGTGCAGCATGATCATAATGAGCAGCTCCTGAGTGGCAGCCTGCAGAAGAGAAGCATGGCTTCCAAGAGTGTGTCCTGTGGTCCTGTGCAGCATGACCATGATGAGCAGCTCCTGAGTGGCAGCCTGCAGAAGAGAAGCATGGCTTCCAAGAGTGTGTCCTGTAGTCCTGTGCAGCATGACCACAAGAGGCTCCTGAGCAGCAGCCTGCAGAAGAGAATCACAGCTTCCAAGAGTGTGTCCTGTGGTCCTGTGCAGCAT